CAGGTCCAGAGAAGGCAGATATGTGGGTTAGCCAGAGTAGGGGCTTTGCTGGGCAAAGGTAGTGGAGACCGGGCTGGGAGACAAGGTTTTGCTGAGGATATTTTCCGAGGAATGACCATAGTGCTGAGCTGTTAAGTCTGAGCCAGGAAGGACACAGTCTTCAACATACCTTTCTCTATGAACAAGGGCATGTAAACTTTTCTTTCAGTCTCTTAATGGAACACTAAACGCTTTAGAACAGCTGAAGAGGAAACATAGTCCATCTAGTTATTTTACTCATATCAATTTTGTTTGTCATCATAAAAATTCATCTTGTTCTTGGTACAGCATGTGTTTTATGCCCTGTAATGATCCTTACAAATCCTTCTGGACTTTTAAGAAATCTGTTTAAGGACTTTGTTATATCCCCTAGCTGACATTTTCACGTTTTTTGATAAAATATGGCAGGATGATGAGATTCTCACTGAATCACCTTTATCCAATTCTTAGCTATTATAGATTTTCTGAGGCAAAAGGGATTAGGAAAATGAATGAAGAAATATTAATGTGTATGACAAGCAATAGTGATTAAAGCCAGGTTATATTGGTACAAAACTTTTTAAATACTTGAAAAGAAGAAAAAATCCAGAAACAATCCTATTGTATGTAAAAATATAGTGTGTGATAAGGGTGACATTTCTCTCTATAGGGAAAGAGTTGATCCAGTAAATGATTCAACAAATGGTATTGAAGCAGCTGACTTACATCTTGGGCAAAATGTAGTTCCATCTTCACCTTACATCACATACAAAAATCTGTCACAGAAGGAAAATGTTAGACAAAATATATAGAATCTTAGGACACTACTATAGAGGGTTTTCTAAATATGAAACCAAGCTATAAAAGAAAATAAATGAGGAGTTTTGATGAAAATGAATGTTTAAACTTTTAGATTGCAAAACACCACAAACAAAAGGCAAAATACAAACAATAAAATGTTTTTCAAAGAAATAGTAAATAGTAAAACCTCATGTTTTAATTACTAGGTTTTTTTATGTAGCAGATTGGCAAAATGTGTTTAGTTTTTATGACTAAACTCACTTTTGGTGGAGGGGGCAGTCTTACTAACATTGTATATAAACAGATATACCATTTTGGAAAGCAGTTTAGGATTAGTCATTAAAAGCCTTAAAATATGTGCTTTGACGTAGTTCCACTACTGTAGAAATTATTCTGAATACATAATCATGGATAAGTGCCCATATTTACTGCAAAAAATGTCCATTAAAGCATTGTTTTATAAAGGAGAAAGATTTTGAATAGCCTAAATATTTCAAAACTAGGAATTGGCAAAATAATTATGATTACATGCAACGGCTGTAGGTGCGGTCTTTAAATGTGACAGAGAATATTTAATGACATGGAATGATGGTTATGAAGTTGTGTTAAATGAAGAAGACACTACAGAGTAGGATGGATTGTGCAGTCTTATATTTATAAAAGCAAAAATGATGTGTGTGTGTGAGGGATGAAAAAGCTATGTATCGTATTCATTAACTTTATCTTTCATTATGGGATTATGAGTGCTTTTTTGTGTGCTAATGTATAATTGCTACAGTGTGTATATGTTTTCTTTGGATGAGAAAATGTTATTTTTTAAAAAAGGCAAATTTGTGAGGAGCAAACAAGTTAACGAATGGTCTGTTTTCTCTTCCTAGGCCAAACCGGTACCTCCTCTTTGACCTGGTGCAGTACATCTTTGCTGTGGCTCACAGGCCCTTCCTCCCGTACCCCTTGCCACGTTTTGCCTATCGGTAAGTGCAGTGCTGCTTTTGTGTCATGATATCGCCTTGGCAAGAATCGGAAGTAGATTCATGGGGACAAGAAGACAACGTGTGTTGGGAGGTGAAATCTGCGACTGACCAGAAGCTCCGACAACCGCTGGCGAAATCTGGAGATGCGTCCTGCTGGGCAGATTGCGTGAGAGACGGCAAGTCTCCTCCTATGTCACGTCACTCGCCCAAAAGTGGGAAAAGGCCTCTCTTGGATTAAGTCAGTCTGGTCGTGTAGTTGGGGAAGGAGCCAGGCGAATTCAGACTCGGCTTGTGGCTGTCTTCCCTTCTTTCCCTGCTGCTTGATTCACTTCTTCCCTTTGTGGGTTTGGAATCTTAGCTTTACCATGCCACACCTGAGGGGTCCGGTCAGGGAGACGCTCACGCATCAGACAAACAGGGAAAGTTAGAATGCAGCGTGATGACGATGTTTCCTAAGATTGTTTGTTCTTCTTCTTAGGCTGTTTTCCTCGTCTCACTATATACCTGTACTGATCTCTAAAGTGGGCGGGGAGAATGTGTAGGCTGAGTGGAAGAGCAGGGCCTCAGGAGGGGGAGGAATTCCTCTACTGAAAGGACCTGCAGAGTAAGAAACAGATCTGGGAGGCCAAAGTAAGGAGTGGTGAGACATTTCAGTGGACGGAAGTCTGGATGCCAAAGGGAAGGATGTGTTTTAAGGAAGGAGTGGATGTCTGAAGGAGGGGGGCATTGCAGTTTTGTGCCCTTGTAGCTTCAGCACCTAGAACAGTGCCTGGCACGCAGGAGGCACTCGATTGACGTGGTTGGAATGAAGTCTTACTCAAAAGTCCGAGAAGACAAAGGACCGACCAGTAAAGACGTTTGTGACCACAGCTTCAGTGCAGTGGAGGTTGTGTAAGCCAGAGTGCAGTGGCTCGCTGTCATGGTTGTTCGTGAAACTGAGTTCTAGATGGAGTTGGCATGACCCACTGAGGATACCGGAGACCAGAAACGATCTGTTGTTGTTGAACCAGAGAGTACAGCGCGTGGAGTAGTAAGGAGTGTTTTTATTAAGCTATGTTAGCCCCCCACATTACCTTTTTCTGCTAACGGCTGGAATCGGAGGCTTTATATGTTGCTGGAGAAATTTGACCGGCTTCCTTTTTTGTTTATAAATACTATCCATTGGAATGATGCTTTTCAAGATTTGGAAAGCTGTGGAACCCTGTGTTTCTGAATCTTTACCAAGGCCCACTGAGTAATAAGGTAAAAGCAGAGCTGATCTACTGGTAGTGATGAGTGATTCTCAGCAGAGCATGGTCTCCCAGCCCCAGCCTCCATTCTCACCAGGCCTCCAAGGAGTTCCTGGGGTCCCTCAGATACTAGTTTAAAACCCACTGCCCTCAGGATACTCATGATGGAACTCAGAGGACATGTCAGGAGCACCCTCCGTTTTCACTGACAGTGAAGAAATGGCAGTAATCAAGGTAGACAGCCCCTCCTGTCCTGGGTTTTATATATTCTACTCCTGATTTGAATCATAGGTCTTAGGCTTCTTTTTAACTTTTGGATGTTTTGGTTTCCAGAGGCCCCAGCTTTAGGGGATTGCATTTTGTATTTTGCATACCACTTGGCTTCTTCCACATCCTAACAGGAGTGTATTTGGATGTCCAAGGCTTAGATTAGATAGAATTTTATTGAATGTTGGATCTTTTTTGTTTGCCCTGTTGTTTGTTTGGTTTATTTCATTTTGTGTTAAGATCTGTCATCTCTGTAGAGGACAAGGTGTACCACGAATTACAGCTGTCATCTGGGTGGCATTAGCAAATAGGCACTATAATGCAGAGGTGGCTTCACAGGTCATGGAGCTGGGATATTAGTTCTTTTCTTAAAAAAAAAATTTGGATATTGCTTTGCTAGGCCATGGTTGTCACGTTTCCTTGCCTTGGCTGCCTCCCCTACCTTGAGGAGGTGAATCTCTTCTCTCTCTCTCTAATTTACTTTTTACATAAACTATATTTTCCAAATTTAAAAAATTCAGTCAGTTTCTGCTTCTATAGCAGCCTTTCTTCCTTGTAGGTTTGCTTAAATATTGGGCAGAGAGGCTCCTATCACATGTGCTATACATTCCTTTTTCCAGATGGATAGCAAGATTGTTTGAAATAAGCCCGTTTGAGCCCTGGACAACGAGGGATAAAGTGGAGCGGGTAAGGCGTGTGGTAAACATCCGCCAGGGTAGGTGCTGGCAGAGAGCTGCAGGGACAGGGAAGTTAGGATGTATTTCTGTTTGCTTGCTTGGATTATTCCCGTGCTCTTGTCTGCTGTTTCTGCGGGGAGGTCAGCCCCTCGACCAAGCACTGACACTCACCCGCTCTCATCCTGCTCCTGGCTTCGCCTTCTGCCTGACATTATCAGTATTTTCCCCACTGGATTCTTCCCATCAGCACGAAAGCATGCCTGGTGTCTCCCCATGCCTTTTTAAAGTAAAACTAAGTCCTCTCTCGTGTGTGTCTCTTCCGGCCACTTTCCTGTTTGTGTTCCTTCGCATCCTAACTCCTCAAAAGAGCTGTTGATCCCTGCCATTAGACAGTTTCTTCATCTTTAACTACGTCAATCAGGCTTTTAGTCCCATCTCTCCCCCCATCAAAGGTCACCCCTGATCTCCTTGTCACCAAATCCAGTGTCACCTCTCAGACCTCATCTCACATGTGTGTGCTTGTGCTTCTTCTAGGGAGAATGCCAAGTAATACGAAGATGTAAAAAAATGACGCTATACCAAATACTGTATTCCATCTCTACCTTTGAAAACTTATGGACTGTGTATTGGCAAGAAGGAGCCAAGTTGTCCTCTGAATGTGGCCTAGAAGCTAAACTGTGGAGGAGACGAGCAAAGAGTCCTTAGGAACAGTCTGTTTTCTAGCTCTGTGATGAGCATGAGTCTACCAATTGAGTGTAGTTGGAGCAAACAAGGTTATTGGGCTGTTTTTCAATGGATAAGGAACAGATTTGACCTTATCTCTTAATTTCAGAAGTCAGAACTGAGTCAGAGAATCTGTGCTCTAGTCCCAGTTTTATTCCTGCCCCTTCCTGCTCAGCCTCCCTGGCAAAGGCGAAGACATGGGCTTCCCGCTTCAAATCTACTCCTTTTTAAGCCTGTGTGTAGATCGGCTCATCTCGTGCCAATGTCTCGTGCTCATGGCTACTGCTGGGGACATTGAGCTGATATTTGGTGATCTTGCCTTTTCCTCCCCTCTTAAGCCCTCTTTCTGTGTTCTACTTTTAGCGAGTTGCATGAATCAAAATTGCCACATGCTCTTTGAAAGCAGCTAAGTGACTGCAATGGGACTCAGGCCAGCTCGAGTGTTTAGATGTTGGCTTTGTTGGCACTTGGAGTTGGTGGCCAGTTTTCAGCCTTCTCTGTGGTCTCTGTTCTCTCAAAGATTCACATCACAGACAAGACATTGCCTCACCTGCCCAGCTTAGAAGACCTTGGCGTTCAGGCAACCCCGCTGGAGCTCAAGGCCATCGAGGTGCTGCGGCGTCACCGCACATACCGCTGGCTGTCTGCCGAAATCGAGGATGTGAAGCCGGCCAAGACGGTCAACGTTTAGTCGAGCAGCCCTTGGGTCTTGGCGTTGTTTGGGTCTCCTCGCTGGTGACCGGCCTACATTCTTTAGAGAACCCTGTACATAGCGAATAAGTTTCCTCTATTAAAAGATCTGAGGTTGAATTCTGCAGTATTTTCATTCTTGATTATCAAAGGAGAAATTTAATCGTTTAGAACTTCAGCGTAATTTTCTTTAGATACAAGTTTAATGACATTTATTGTTTATTTTCTGAAATGCCAGAGGGTTTGAATTTCCCTACGTCAGGCTACTTCTAGCATATGTCCTAGCAGTCAAAAATCCCTTTTTAATGCCAAATTATTGTGAAGACCCAAGTGATAATGTGATTCTAAATCTCCATTAAAAGAAAATATACATACAGTGTTCCCTAGCTAATCTGAATTTTTTCACACCTAAGATATGTTTTTGCAATTTATTTCAGTAATGTCTATAAACATTTTTAAAATCGTACATATATGTAAAAACATGGTCGACATGGGTTCTCAGACGCTTGCAGCAACTTCACAGTCTTCTTGGATCTGAGCTGTCTGCGGCCTCCAGCCCCATGCTGTTAGGACCACATCTGGGTTATTTCAGATGCCTGTCTCTCTCTTCCAAGAGGGGCCTCATCCTCTATGTCAGTGATGCCAGCACTTACGAATCCGGACCTTTTGCTTAAGCTGTTAAAATTGCAGCCAATGTTCAGGTGAACGATGAGTTTAGTGTTGGCAAATCCCTTACTGTGGTATGATGAGAACTCCCTTCATTCGTGGTGCAGTCACACACCACTTTCCCAGGTGACTCGAGGATGGTCACTGTGTCCCACTGGCTCTTGACCTCCTGATCTGTGGGTCGGGGATGTCAGTGAAAACCCCGTTCAGTTATAGTAATGCCCGTCTCATCTTTTTGGAGAAAGGTACTTGAGTGTCAAAGGTAAGTCTCTGAATGTGCCAGAATCTTTTTGTCCCAAAGTGGGCCAATATGTGCCACTCATGGTATGGTCCCTGGATCGGCAGCCTCAGCATCACATGGGAGCCTGCTCGAAATGCAGAATCTCAGGCCCTGTCCCAAGCCTGAGGAATCAGAATCTGCATTTTGGCCAGGCCTCTGGGAGGTCTTTGTGCATGGTAGCACGAGGAGCCTTGCTGTCCCAGAGAGCTGCAACAGAGTTCAGTATGATTCCTGTTTCCATCAGGTGGCTGAGCCAGGCGCAGGCCTCTGCAAGGAGGGCCCAGGAATTGTATTTTATTAAACATGCCAGTGTATTGGCACGCACACTGGTATGTGATGATCAGTATACGAGGGAAAGGAGCAAACTCCAAGTTCATGCTTTATTTTATAAGGTGAGATATCGCCTGTTATTTTGGAGAACACCCTTGCTGGCCATCAGCCGGGCCGGTAGGCCCACAGGTGGGTGGGTTTGATTAGAAAGGAACTGTCATTCTGTAATGTACAGTATCCTCTCTTATCAACATCTGCATTTTCTTTTTTCTTTTTTCTTTTTTTGAGTTGAAGTTTCACTCTGTCGCCCAGACTGGAGTGCAGTGGCCGCTCCCAGTCACCGCAGCCTCGACCTGCTGGGCTCCAGCGATCCTTCCACCTCAGCCTTCCAAGTAGCTGGAACTACAGGTGCGCACTACCACGCCCGGCTAATTTTTTTATTTATTGTAGAGATGAGGTCTCGCCTGCCCAGGTGGGTCTCGAACCCACGGGCTCAGGCAATCCACTCACCTCAGCCTCCCAAAGGTGTGGGATTACAGGCTGAGCCACTGAGCCCGGCTCTTTTTTTAATTCTTAAAAAAAATTTTTATTGATACATAATAGATGTACATATTTTGGGGCTACATGTGATAATTTGATATAGTCATATAATTAGGTAATTGGGATATACTTCACCCTAAATATGTACCTTTTCTTTGTGCTAGGAACATCCATATCATTCTCTTCTAGCCATTAGAAATGTACAGTACAGTAGATTAATGTTAACTATAGTCACCTGCTGGTCTATGGAACACCAGGTCTTATTTCTTCTGTCTAACTAATTCTCTGCACTTTCTAGCAATGCTGTTTTTAACTCTCATATCATAACTCAGGATGCTACATGGCTACCTTTTCTAAAACTGTAATTCAATCAGGATAGTTTTTCTTTGCTGTCCATTCAGTGCCCTCTTCTGTAATAAAAGTTTTATAATGTACCTTTTATTATCCTGATATGGAAGTCATAGTTATCATAACCTCTCTGTCTATAGAACCAAAATATAATTAATGCCATATGTCAACAAGGACTCAAAGGAAAACATGATGACTAACACGTGTACACATCTGTGAGCACAGCATCACTGAAGGCGTCATGAGTTGTTGATTGCTTGCATCCACGAGGGCAGTCACCTTGGATACCACAGCAGCAAATAGACTGGTGTGATGCAGGGATAGGCTGTCTTAGTCACTTACGTACTGTCAGCACCGTTGTTGTTGTTTCCAGAAGCGCCAACTTCTGAAATGGTGAACCACTTCTTGTGAAGTTCAAAACCAAAATATATTCCCCCCTAAACTGACATGGTACTTGCATTCTCAGAAAAGGCAACCTATATTAAGTTCATATACGTATATTGAATTCATACTGAAGAATATTTATATCTGTAAAACAGATTCCAAGTTCAGATGACTGTGAATCATCTTCTGAAAGTCACATGAGGTTTGTGTCAATTCCTGATTTTTAAGTTTGACACCAGGGTGTGTCTGTTCTTGGTTCCCACTCTCTAAATGCCCACAGTGCTCTTCAATCATTGTTTTACCACAAATAAATATATACACATTTTAAGAGATGTTATCTATGTATTATTTTTGAAGTTGAATTACAGCAGCAACGGCAGTATGATGTTCGCTCAAAAGATGTCATTAATCAAGTGAATGTTAGCGTGACCATGTGACACGCAGGACAGTCAAAGAAAATGGAAGCACCGTTTTCAGTCAAGGAATGCAAGACCATTTTGAATGATATTTGAAATTCAAGAATGTTGTGGAAGTATGTATGATAATGGAGGCGTGAGTATGCAGCAGAACCTCCCAAATGCCCCCAAACTGCATATGTTTGTGATAACTCTGAGACACGTGGTATGTGATGTGCCTAAGGGAAGATCCAGGAGGCCTGGCACAGGAACAAGTCCTGCAGTAGTTTGCTGTCATCATAAGTTTCTGGGTACTGATGCCAACCACTTTGAGCACCTCTTGTAATTGCCGAGGTCAAATGTGACTTGCATTCATGTTTTGTTAATGGTATATATTGAGTATTACAGTTTTAGTAGTTTGTTCCTTTCTCAAAATGTGAATATGTATTTTTGGTACCCTCTGTATTTGAGGTGGTGAGTGTGAAGTTTACCCTAATTGGATCATTATACAAGGTGTACATACGAGGGTGGGGTATCCAGATAAACCAGGAATTTATTTATAAAAAACTGTATTCTTACATGTTTAAACTGCAGTCACCTTCAAAGTACTCTCTGTTGGTTGCAATACAACTATTGAGATGCTTTTTCCACTGCTCAAAACAGCTTTTGAATGTATCCATTTTTATGCCTTTTAGTGCTTCTGCTGTTTTTTGTTTCACCTCTTCCACGTTGCAAAACGTTTCCCTTTGAGGACTATTTTTCACCTGGGGAAATAACAAAAAGTCACTCTGGGCGAGGTCGGTTGAATAGGGAAGCAGGGCACAGGCATCATGATGCCTTTGGTCAAAAACTGCTGAACATTGCGTGGTGTGGGAAGGTGCTCTCAAAAGTCGCCCATCATGAAATGGGCAAATGCATTGAAAGAATCTCCAAAAATAATTAGCTGAAGCCAAATACAGCCTCTCACAACAATGCTAGCTGGTACACTGATGCCAGTGGATTCGTAGAGCACCTAATAGGGGAAAACCAACCTCCAGAGAATAATTCTGGTTTTGGGGGGGTTCCCTCTTGTATATTGAAACATCACATTTGCCCAGTCAATATGTACAGTTATGTGTCAATTAAAAATAAAACTTAAAAATAAATGTTAAATTATTAAATATGATAAAACTTTAAATACCAACAGGCAGGGAATTTCCCCAAATTTACTCTAAAATATCAACAAGGGTTTGAGTTACTACATTCTCTATACTTAAAAGTCTTTCAGAGGTTGAAGACCGTTACCAGCAGCCTTGGTCCATTTCTGTTGCTATAACAAAATCCCTAAGACTGGGTAATTTGTAATAGCAGAAATGTATTTCTCACAGGCCTGAAGGCTGGGAGAGAGTTCAAGATCAAGGTGCCAGCAGATTGGGTCTGGTGAGGGCTGCTTCTGCTTCAGAGATGGTGCCTTCTGGCTGGCTGCTTCCTCACATGGAGAAAGGGTACCAGGGCACTCTCTTCAACCTTTTCTAAGAGCGCCAGTCCCGTTCACGAGGGCAGAGTTTTCATGTCCCCATCACCCCCTAAAGGCCCTGCCTCTTAATACAGCTGCATTGGGGTCTGAGGTCAACATGAATTTTGGAGGAACACAACATACAAACCTAAACACCGACTCAGGAAACACTTTTACCAGCCTTAGCTCGTGGGTTATTCCCTTCTCCATGTGTGGAGTGATTGCATATGACCGGGTATTGTGAGCTGGGCATTAGACATGGAATATCACACCCAGGGTGATTCTCTCCATGATAAAGAGGGGTGAGTGAGTCTCCATTTATAGGCGCCATTCCTGTAGAGCAGCGGTCCTCAACCATTTTGGCATCAGGGGCCGGTTTTGCGGAAGACGATTTTTCCGTGGACAGAGTTGGGGAGGATGGTTTCAGGATGATTCAAGCACATAACGTTTATTGTGCACTTCTATTATTATTACGTTGTAATATATAACAAAATAATTCTACAACTCACCATTAAAAAAAAAGAGGCACAGACGGAAGTGATCCATAAAGTAATGGGTGGGCCATGCGTGGACTAAAAAAATAAGTGTCAGATCCTGACGGAAAGCCTGCCACCGCATGCAGCTGTGCAACTGAAGTACAGCAACTCCCTTGCCGCTCACTGATCGGGTGTTGATATGAGTCTGCAAGCAACTGGTTGATGATGGTCTCTGCAGTCAAACCTCATGCTAATGTTCGTCGGCATTTGCAGTCTCTCCCCAGTGCGAGTATCGACGCCTCAGCTCCACCCCAGGTCATCAGGCATTAGATTTGCATAAGGACCATAAGGAACACGCAACCTCATCCCTCGCATGCACAGTTCACAATAGGTTCGTGCTCCTTTGAGAATCTAACGCGGCTGCTGATCTGACAGGAGGTGGAGCTCAGGCGGTCACGCGAGCCACAGAGAGTAGCTGTGCGTACAGATGAAGCCTTGCTCGCTGGCCAGCTTATCTCCT